CACCCCGAGGTACTCGCAGCTGTAGCCAGGTACCCGCTGCCGCTGCCGCTGCTGCCGCTGCTGCTGCTGCTGCTGCTGCTGCAGCAGTGGCGCCACGACGGCCTGCAGCACATCACGCGTTGCTGGTTCGCCGCTCTGCAGCAGATTCCCCGCAAAATACCCCTCTTGCTTTTTAAAGCTGCAGCAGCAGCTACACGGGACCCTATTTGTTTGTTGATGCGGTTGCTGCTGCTGCTGCTGCCGTTGCTGTGCCTCCGCATCCAGCAGCTGCAGCAGCTGCTGCACTACTGAGCAATCAGCAGATGCTCCCACATTGGCGGACTTGCTGCTGCTGCAGCAAAGGAGGCCCCCAGGGCTGCACTTAGCTTCTTGCTGCTGCCGCACGCTCTCCAGATAAGAAAATATGCTATCCTCTGCTGCTGCTGCTGCTGCTTCGTGCTTCTGTTCCTGCTGCTGCTGCTGCTGTTCCTGCTGCCGCACATTCTGTACAAGCAGCAAGGCCTCCTCCTCCTTTACACGTACGCCTGCGTCTCCTGAAGCTCTGGGCATCTCCCGCTGCTGCTTCACGCGCTGCATCCCCTGCTGCTGCTGCTGCTGCTGCTGCTGCTGGGCTTTATAAGCTGCTTCAGGCTCCTCCGTTGCGCTGTCTGCATCCCCCAGGGGTTTATTTAGTAGAGCAAGCCTCTGCAGCGCCTCATCCAGGTTTACAGCCCCCACTGCTTCTCCTGCAGCAGCAGCAGCAGCATCAGCAGTGTCTCTCACTGCAGCAGAAGATGCGGTGTCGAGAGCTGAGGCAGCAGCATCGTCTGCTGCAGCAGCAGCAGCAGCAGCAGCAATCCACTCGAGCCCTTCGCTGCTCTGATGCCGCAAGAGAGGAGACGCCTCATCTTCCTTGCCTTCTCCTAAACAATATTCTTGTTCTTTGTCTTGCTGCTGTTGCTGGTGCTGCAGCTGCTGCAACTGCTGCTGCTGCTGCTGCTGTAGCCGCCCCAAGACGTCCCAGGAGCGCAAGCCTGCTGCTAGCAGCAACTGATGCCCCTCAGCAGTATGCAGCAGCAGCTGCAGCGGCTGCTGCTGCAGCTGCAGCCAAGGAGACAGCCGCCGCAGCGCGTGGGAGAAGGTGAGGTGTATAGACACCGCATCTAGGACACAAGGCTGAAGCACTTCATGCAGCAGCAAACGCCAGCTGCACGAACTGCAGCAGCAGCAGCCGCAGCAGTCGCTTTGCTGCTTCCCCCGACCCACAGCAGCATACAATTCAAAACAAAAGAAGTCTTCCCGCCACCTCAAACCAACAGCCAGAAGCTGCCCTGTCTTGCAGCAGCAACAGCAACTGCTGCTGCTGTTGCTGCTGCTGCTGCTGCTGCTGCCTTTACTGCTGGGGATTCTGCTGCTGGGGTTGCTGCCGCTGTCCTTGCTACTGCTGTGGCTGATGCTGCTGCTGGGCTCGTCTTTTGCTGCCATCAGGGCAGGTGCGGCTGCTTCTTGTTTGCTGCAGCAGCAGCAAGGCTGCAGCAGCAGCGGCTTAGCGAAGCAGCCAAGGCGGTGAATGAGGCTTTGCGCCAGTTGGCATAACTCCTCGGAATAAGAAGCTGCGTATACACCGCAACACATACACCACAGATAATAATAATAAGCCCAAGCCCCCTGCTGCTGTGCCCCTGCTGCTGCTGTTGCTGCTGTTGCTGCTGCAGCAGGGGACAGGCATCCATCTGTGCTGCATACACTGCGGGTGCTCCTGCTGCTGCTGATGATGATGCTGCTGATGCTGCAGATGCTAGTGATTCTAATGCTGCTCATGCAAAATGCTGCTGCTGCTGTCGCTGCTGCGGGTGCTGCTGCTGCTGCTGCTGCTGTTTCTACACTGCAACTGCAACAGCAAGACAACTGCTGTACAGCAGCACTGCATAATCAAACTAGGAGGGGCCCCACAAGGCGGCGCCAACTAATGCAATCTATGCTAGCTGCTAGCTATCTGCTAGCTAGCTAGCTAGCTAGCTAGCTAGCTAGTTCGTGACGGGAGGCTAATTACTAACCTTCAACTGCAGCATCAGCAACAAGGACGCGCAAAGTCTGCTGCGGCAAACTGGGGAGAGAGAATTTGTCCTTTACATGCAACGACTTTCCTGCTGCAGCAGCAGCAGCAGCTGCTGCTGCTGCAGTTGCTGCTGACGCTGTAGTAGTTGTCGAGATGTCTTGTTGGGCCGCAGCCAACCCCAAGAGGGTCCCCGTCTCCGCTTGCTGCTGCTGCTGCTGCTGCACCTGCTGCTGTTGCTGGTGCTGCACCTGCTGCTGTTGCTGCTGCTGCTGCTCTCGCTGCAGCAGCAGCGCCATCTTCTTACAGCGGAACCAAGTTAAAGACATCCGTCTCACTCGCCGCAGCACCCTAAAGAGAGGCTCAGCGGGGTGCATGCGGTGTACATCAAGCAGCAGCAGCTTCACAAGGGATATACTTATCTGCGTGTGTGCATGCAGCAGCAACTGACGCTGCTGCACTTCCGTGCTGCTGCTGCCGCTGTTGTTGTTGTTGCTGTTGCTGTAGTTGCTGCTGCTCTGCTTCTGCTGCAAGAGCGCATCAACTACTTCAGCACAGCAGCAGCAACAGAGCCCAGCTGAACCCCCATCTCTGCTGCTGCTGCTGCTGTTGCTGCTGTTGGGGTGCTGCTGCAGCAGCTGACGGCGGCGGGCTGCATGCAGCAGCAGCAAGCCAGACACCCGCAGGTGCAGCACAGCCTGCGCAGCAAAGGGTCTCCCTTCTGCTGCTGTACGCAGCAGCCAAACTCCTTCTCTTAGATTTGTTGATGCCCTCAAGGCTCTGCTGCTGCTGGTGCCTACACCCCTGCTGCTTGTGCTGCTCGTGCTGCTGCAGCTGTAGCTGCCCCCACCTGCTGCACCCTGGTATACGTAGCGGCTGCGGTGTCTCCCGCTGCTGATGCTGCTGCTGCTGCTGCTGCTGCTGCTGCCCACTGCGACGAAGGTAGGAGGATCAGACTCCAGCAAATGCAGCAAAGAATCCGCAGCAACGCAGCAATTGCACATGCACCGTACAAATTTACTGCTGTTGCTGCTGCTGTTGCTGCTGTTGCTGCTGCTGTGCGCATGCTCCCTCTGCGGAGAGTGGCGATCGTCTGCCAAGTGGTGGCTGGTGCAGGTTAGATCTCCCGCTGCTGCTGTTGCTGCTGCTGCTGTTGCTGCTGCTGTTGCTGCTGCATGCTGCGCCTGCTGCTGCTGCCTTTTTAGCAGCAGCGCTGAATCACGAGCAGCAGCAGCAAATCGCCGGCCGATGTGGTAGCCGTAGAAGCGGATAGGGAATGCCACAGGCTCGAACGTCTCAAGTGCATCAGCAGCAGCAGCAGCAGGAGCAGCAGCAGGAGCAGCAGCAGAAGCAGCAGCATTAGCTTCTGCTGCTGCTCCCATATGTATTGCTGCAGCCGTCGCCTGCTTTGAGGGTGGTGCCTTAAAGGCATCCGTTTCAGCTGTTGTTCCTGCTGCTGTTGCTGCTGCTGTTGCTGCTGCTGTTGCTGCTGCTGCAGGTGGATGAGCATCACGCCTGAGGTGTACAGACATCCAGGCAGGCGGAGGCCCCACGAAAGTAACGGGGGGGACATCGCGGGCTAGAACGTCTTCAGCAAAGGCAGCAGCCTGCTGCTGCTGCTGCTGCTGCTGCTGGTGTTGCTGCTGCTGCTGTTCCTGTTGGTGCTGCAGCTCTGCTGCTGCAGGTCCCTCGTAGAGGCAGGGCTCAAATGGCAGTAGTGATGCTGCTGCTCCTGTGCTGCAGCAGCTGCAGCAGCAACTGCGGTTGACGCAAGCGTCTCCTGTTTGTTGCAGCAGCTGCTGCTGCTGCTGATCCTGTTCTGCTGCAGCAGCATCTGCTGCTGCTGCCTCTTCCTGCTGTCCCAGGAGGTCCATGCGTAGACAATAGCAAGCGACATCCTCAGCGTCTCTGAGGGGAACAGCAGCAGCAGCAGCAGCAGCAGCAGGCAAGAAGCTGTGGCGTTCTGCTGCTGCTGCGGCTGCTGCTGCTGCTGCGTCGCTACGACTGAAAAATAAAGGCAGCAAATCAACAGAAGGGCTCTCCGCCTGCGGGGGGATAGGCAAGCTGCAGCTGCTGCCGCTGCAGCTGTACCTCCCACGGTGGGAGTGGTGGTGGTGGTGGTGGTGCTGCTGCTGCTGCTCGCCCCTAATCCTCAGTCTCCTTCTTCTTCTCCTGCTGCTGTTGCCAGTCCTCCTCCTGTTGGTGCTTCTGCTGCTGCTGCTGCTGCTGCTGCTGCTCACGCTGCTGCTGCTGCCCGCGTCGCCCTCGCTGCCGCTGCTGCTGCCGCTTACACTGCTGCAGACGTATCCTCTGCTGCTGCTGCTGCCCTCCCCTTTGCTCCAGCTGCTCCCACAACACCTGCTGCAACAACAGCTGCTGCTGCTGCTGCAGCAAGTCTCAGGGGCTGTTGCTTCCCAATACTGCCTATACACCTCAGGCTCAGCAAGAGCAGCAAGAAGTGCTGTGGTTCTGTCTAGCAGCACTTCTGCTGGCTGCAGCATCAGCCGCATGCATGTCTCTTTGCAGCAGTCCAGCCATCTGCTGCTGCTGCTGCTGCTGGGTGTGCACACCGCAATGCTGCTGTGGTCTCGGGGGCTGCTTAGTCTTGAGCAGTCTTTGCTGCTGCTGCTGCTGCTGCTGCTGGTTGCTGAGCGAACAGTTTGCCCCCGAGGGGAGGCACACGAATTTGTTGCAGCATCTGTTGTTGCTGCTGCTGCAGTTGCTGCTACTGCAGTTGCTGCTGCTGCAGTTGATGGTGCCACTGCCGACTCAGCAGCAGCAGCTGCTACTTCGGTGCGCAGCAGCATGCTGCTGTTGAAGGCAGAGGAAATCTCGGGGCAGCCGCGAATAGGTGGGTGCGGCAAGTGTTGCTGCTGCTGCTGTTGCTGCTGCTGCTGCTGCTGCTTCTGCTGCTGCTGCCAGTGCCACCACCCCCACTACATTTGCTGCTGCTGCTATCCATGCTGCTACAGTGAAGATTGCTGCTGCAGCAGGCCTCTGCTGCTTCCGAAGGGAAGGCTGGCGGGCTGGGAAGTAATGGGCGGATCCCCCTTTGGTGTGTGTTGTTGCTGCTGCTGCTGCTGTTGCTGCTGCTGCTCCTGCTGCCGGTGTTGCTGCTGCTGGTGCCGCTACCGCTGCTGTTGCTGCAGTTGCAGTTGCAGTTGCTGTTGCTGCTGTTGCTGCAGCTTCTGTTTCTGCCACTGCTACACCTTTGAGTGCTCCTGCTGCAGCTCGTGCTGCTGCTGTTGCAGCTGCTCCTGCTGCCGCAGCTGCTGTTGCAGCTGTTTCAGCGGTTGGTAGGGGGGCTTCCCCTTGCTACGCCGGCCCTATTGTGGCTGCTACTGCAGCCGCTGCTGCTGCTGCTGCTGCTGCAGCTGCTGCTGCTGCTGCTGGAGACAATCGAAGCCGCTCTGGCTCCCTCCCCAGCCGCAGCAGCAGCAGCAGCAGCAGCAGCAGCAGAACACCCGCGGAAGTTTAGCTGAGGTGCTCCTGCAGCTGCGTTGCTGCTGCTAAAGATGAAAGCAGCAGCAGCAGCTGCAGCAAATGCTGCTGCTGCTGGACAATCGCTGCGCGCCTAAGCAGAGCCCAGGCTCGAGCAGTGGCAGCAGCAGCAACAGCAGCAGCAGCTGCACACGGTAGTGCTGCTGCTGCTGCTGCTGCAGAAGCAAATTAGGGTGAAAATGAAGTTTATTTGAGCTCTTCTTTTATTTATATGGAAAGCAGTGCCGCAGCAGACGCGGGGGCAGCTGCAGCGGGAGCAGCAGCAGCAGCAGCAGCAGCAGCAGCAGCAGGACCTAATGCATCGACGGGTTGCTAATTGATGGCTTCCAGCGTGCAGCAGCAGCAGCAGCAGCAGTGGCAGCAGCAGCAATAAGGCTTTAATTAAACAGGTTTATTTACAGGAGTTCTTCATAAACAAGCTATTTCTTCCTCGTTGTTGTGGGCGTGTGTCTCTGCTGCAGTGCTGCTGCTGCTGCTGCTGCTGCTGCTGCTCCTGCTGCTGCCAATCACTGCAGGACCAGCGGCCTGCTAGCGGAGCAGCAGCAGCAGCAGCAGCAGCAGCGCTTAGAGGGGACCAGAGCCCAAGTTTTCCTGCATTTAACTTCCTATTTTTCTCCCCCTCTGCTGCTGCACCTGCTGCAGCAGCTGCGCATTTGCCGCCGCGCCAGCAGCAGCAGCAGCAGCAGCAGCAGCAACAGCAACAGCAGCAGCAGTAGCAGCCGTTCCTCCTGCTGTTGCTCTTTCAGAAACTGCAGCAATTCGAGCAACAACAGCTGCAGCAGCTGCCCCCTTCATCATCCACTCCTTTAGTGTTCGAAGCGCTAGCGCTCCTTGCCAGCACAGCAGCAGCAGCAGCAACAGCAGCAGCAGCAGCAGCAGAAAGCAGGTTGTGTAGCAGTGGGTGCTAGCAGCGCATGACCTTGCTGTAGAAGCTGCAGCACTAACTTCATCTTCCTTGCTGCGAGGCATCCACGAGGAGCAGCACCCTCAGAAGCAGCAGCAGCAGTAGCAGCAGCAGACTGCAGCAGCAGAGGCAGCAAATTACAGCTGCAACAGCAGCAGCACACCCTCAAAGCAGCAGCAGGGATCTCATCTCAGTATGACACGAGGCTGCTGTCTGTGGCGGCAGCAGCAGCTTCGGCTGCTGCTGCCGTTGCTGCTGCTGCTGCAGGGTCTGCAGCAGCAGCACATCTTTTTACCTGCAATTGCTTCTGATGCTGCTGCCGACGCCTCCTCACCCGTTCCAGAGGCAGCAACAAAAACAGAAACAACAGCACCTTCTGCTGCTGCTGCTGCTGCTGCAACTGATGGGACGCAGCACGCGGCTTTGGTGTCGCCGGTGCCTGCAGCTGCAGCAGAAGCCCTGCAACACTCATCCGATGCTGCTGCTGCTGCTGCAGAAGCAGCAGCAGCCGCAGCAGAACTACCTTCCTCAGCTAAGGAAGAGCCCTCAGCTGCAGAAGCTGCTGCTGCAGCAGTCCTTGCTGCAGCAGCAGGGCCATCATCGTCTCCCGTGCCATCTGTAGAGCAGCAGCAGCAACAGCAGCAGCAACAGCAGCAGCAGCAGCAGGATGTCGCCGCTGCTGCAGATGCTGCTGAAAGAGCTCAGAAGGCCGCAGCAGCAGCAGCAGCAGCAGCAGAAGCCGCAGAAGCAGCAGCAAGTGCAGCCCAGTCAGCAGGAGCAGCAGCAGGGGAGACAGAAGCAGCAGCAGCAGCAGGGGAGACAGAAGCAGCAGCAGCAGCAGCAGCAGCAGAGACAGGAGAGACGGAAGCAGCAGCAGAAGGAGAGGACCCCCCTTCTTCTTTCTTATCCCAGGCATTCTCTTCTTTTTCTGGCGTCGGGGAAGCAGTTACAAACAGATTGAGAGGCATTGTGCGTTTTGCTGCTGTTGCTGCTGCAGTGCTGATGCAGCTAACGCCTCTCCCCACAATCGCCAGGTAAATTTCAGCGCCTCTCCTGCTGCTACTTCTGCTGCTGTGCTGCTGCTACTGCTGCTGTGCTGTTGCTGCTGCTGAGCTGCTTGTGGTGGTGGTGCTGCTGCTGTGCTGCTTGCGGTGGTGATTGCTGTTATGCTGCTGCTGCTGCTGCTGCTGCTGCTGTGCTGCTTGTGGTGCTGTTGTTGCTGTGCTGCTTGTGGTGGTGCTGCTGCTTCAGCACTTATACAGTAGCGGGTGAAGTGCTTCTGCTTCTGCTGCTGCTGCTGTTGCTGTTGCTGCTGTTTGTGGGACTGGCCAGACTGGTGGGTCGGGTTAGCTCAAATGCAGTCTCTGATACTGTCGCTGCTGCTGCTGCTGCTGCTGCTGCTGCTGTGTGCAGGATAGCTACGTGCAACAGCACGCTAGGGCTGGCGTCTCTGCCTTTCTTCAGTCTCTTCTTCTCCGCCTGTCTTTGGCTGCTGTACGGCATACTGAGGGTGGACCCCACAATTCTGCTTCCTAACGTCTCCGGTGTAATCGCAGGTACCTAAACCCTTAACCCTAAACCCTAAACCCTAAACCCTAAACCCTAAACCCTAAACCCTAAACCTAGAGCCATAGATCCGATGTTGTTGCGGGGCTGTGAAGGAATCCACGCTGCTGCCGCGCGAGCGAGGAGGCGTGCTCTACAGCAGCAGCAGCAGCAGCGGAAGCAGCAGCAGTCTCCGCACCAGCAGCAGCAGTAGTGTCCGCAGGAGTGGCAGCAGTAGCAGCAGCAGTATTAGTCTCAGCAGCAGCAGCAGCAGCAGCAGCAGCAGCAGCAGCAGCAGGAGCGTCTGTGTGTATGTATGTGGGTTATGCAGGGGGTTGGTTTGTTTTAACATTTTGGGCCAACACGACTCGAGGAGAGAAGCAGCGGTTTCTGCTGTCTCTATATTTAAAAGCGGGAGCTGTTATAATTGCTGCTCTTCTTCTTATTTGTCTCTTCTGCCCCCTCAGTGCAGCGGAGCTCGTTGTGGGGCTAGTTGCCTGTACGTTGCTGCTGCTGCTGCTGCTGCTGCTGCTGTGGTGGAGGCGGCTTCTGTCTTTTTGCTGCCGTTGCTGCTGCCGCTGCTACTGCTGCTACTGCTGCTGCTGCTGCTGCTGCTGTAGAGTCTCTGTTTTAGTGGCACACAAACCGGGAGATGAACCCAAAGGAGTGTGGCTGCTGTTTTCTTCTTCTCTCTTTTTCTGTCGTCTTCTAAATAATGTTTGTTCATTTAATTGTTGTTGCGGGCCTTGTATCTCTCTTTGCTGCTGTCTGGGGTCCGTAGTTCGATCCCGCCCCACACGATCCCAACCCCACGATCCCGATCCCGTGACCCCATAAACCCCACACCCCACGATCCCGAACCCCGATCCCCGATCCCCGATTGCTTAAATATTGTGGGGTGTGTGTGTGCGTGCGTGTGTTTGGTTCAGCTGCAGTGAACGTGCTGTCGTACGCGTCTCCTTTGGCGTCTCTTCGAGTTGTTATAAAGGAGAGAAGCACTGCATGCATGCCTGTTGAGGTGTCTGCAGGAAATGTTGTTTGTTCTTTCTTATGGTTAGCATACGGCTGGATCGCTGGGGATTTGTTTATTATGCTTCCTAATCTTCTAGGTGAGAGAGAGAAGAAGCTCTTGTTTATTATATTGTTTACTCTTCTTTACTTGGCTGTACTTAACTTGCTTTACTGTCTCTCTTCTTTATTAGACTCTGTCTCTCTCTGTGTCCTTCTGTCTCTGTCTCTGTCTCTGTCTGTCTGTCTGTCTGTCTGTGTGTCTCTCTGTCTCCGTCTCTTTCTATCTATCACCCTCTCTCTTTGTTTTATTGTCTCTTCTTCTTTTCTTCTCTCTACTTGCTTGGCTGTCTCCTTTCTTTATTTTTATGTCTCTCTTCTCTGTCTCTGCTTGTTCTGCTGTCTCTGACTTTTTTGTTGTCTCCATTTGTCTCTCTTTGTTTTATATTATCTCTTCTTGTTCTGCCTCCGCTTTTCTTCTTATCTTCTTTTGTCTTTCTGTCTCCTTTTCTTGTCTTCTTTTATCTCTTCGTCTGTCTCTTCTTTTGTCTCTTCGTCTGTCTCTTCTTTTATCTTTCTGTCTCTTCTTTTGCCTCTTCTTCTTCTTCTGTCTCTTCTTCTTTTGTTTGCTGATGGCCCTGTTTGTGTCTTTGTGTTTATTTTTTCTTTTTGTTTGTCTCTCTTCGTTTGTTTTGTCTGTTTTTTTGTCTCCACTGTCTCTTGAGGCGTCTCCTTTTTGTTGTTTGTCTCTGTCTCTGTGAGTCTTGTTATCGGCATGCATGCACATCTCTTCTTGCTGCTGCTGCTGTTTTTCTGTGCAGGGTTATGTGTGGGCATAGCGCAGCTGCTGCTGCTGGCCTTTATACCTCCTCCATCTCGACAGGGTTTTTTTGCTGTCAGCAGCAGCAGCAGCAGCAGCAGCAGCAGACGCTACTCCCACAAGGGTTGGTTTGAACATAAGGACGAGGCGAACAGCTGGGGCGACAGCAGCTGCAGCAACGGCTACTGCAGCAGCAACAGCAGCACCACTGCATGCGCCACTGCATGCAGCAGCCCCAGCATCTGTGCCTTATCTCCTTCCCTCCCCACACATGAAGAGCTGCTGCGGCACTGCGCTCTGGGACCCGATCCCGATCCCCTCGATGTCTTAGAGACAGACTTCCTGGAGTAGCATGCTGCACCCCACACCGCAGCAGCAGCAGCAGCAGCAGCAGCAGCAGGAGCAACGGCGCATCCAAGCAGATGGAGCAAAGTACTCCTGCGTGCTGCTGCTCTCGTCAATTTCTTTCAACTGCAGCACAACCAGCGCTGCTGCTCGTGTTGCTGCTGTTGCGGCTGCTGCAGCAGCAGCAGCTGCTGCTGCTGCTCGTGTTGCTGCTGTTTTATCTGCTTCTGCAGCATCTGCCTCAGCTAATGCACGCAGCACCACCCCCCAGGCCTATCCGAAGGTAGCGGAGGCTTGGCCTTTTTAGCTTTCATTTGCAGCTAGCTAGCCATTTGATTAGCTCGCTCGCTAGCTAGCTAGCTAGCTGGCTGACTAGCTAGCTAGCTAGCTGGCTAGCTAGCTAGCGCGGGAGCGGGCGTCCTGCTGCTGTGCAGCAGCCCTCATGATGCCCTCCCCCGAGGACAGCCCTGAACAACTCTTCTCTGTCTTTTTCTCACTTGGCGATGCCTCTACTTATAGCAGCAGCAGCAACAGCAGCAGTAGCAACAGCAGCAGCAGCAACAGCAATAGTAGGTAGCTAGGTAGGGAGGCTAGCGTTGCTACTGGGTTTCGCGTGTTGCAGCAGATCCGCTGCAGCAGAATTGCTACTGCTGTTCTCTAACAGGGTTGTGCACTGTACATAAACCGCAATGCGAATGAAGACAGCACGCTGTTGGGGGCCAAGGCTGGCTAGCTCGCCTTCCGAGTAGCTAGCTAGCTAGCTAGCTAGCTAGCTGCTCGGCGGGAGCCACCCTCCGGCCCCTGAAAATAAAAGGCCAGCCCTCATCCCCTCCCCAGCAGAGCCAAGCCCATTGGCTAGTTGCGGGCGACAGGGAGAGCCGTTCACTGGATAGCTAGCTAGCTAGCTAGCTAGCTAGCTATCCAGCTGTTGCCAGCTAGCTAGTCAGCTAGCTAGGTAGCTGCGTGTCCGGGTGCGAAGCAGAGCTGAATGAGAGCAGTTTGCACCTCCCCAGCCCGCCACCCCCAACTTTAAACGAATAAACAGAAGGGTGTTGTTGCTGCTGCTGCTGCTGCTGCTCGTGCAGCTGCTGCAGCTGCTGCAGCAGCAGCTCCCGCACACGTTGTGAGAAAGGATCCCTAAACGGTTGCCTGTGACTGACTAAAAGGAGGCAACCCCATTGAGGTGTGGGGCCTGGGGTGTACATGCAGCTGCGGGCACGCGAACAGTGTGTCGTTCATCGAGGTGAACGTACACCTCAACAACACCCCCCAAATATATTATATTATATATAATATAGTATATAATATATATATTTATTTTTATTTATATATATATTATACAAATATTATATACATATATATAATATGTATGGGGCGTGAGTTGAACACATACACATATACATACATGCATACATACACACACAAGTATATATATATATATATAATATATATATGTATATATATTATATAATACACATACAGCAATTATATATATAATACATTTCTTATTATATACATGTATAAACCTCGTTGGGGTGTCTGAGGACTGCAGATACGGCTTCTTTTTGATGTTTGTTTGTGCATGCGCGCTCTGCATGCAAAATATTTATTTTCTGCATTTCTTTCTTCGTGTCTGTCTCCCTGAGTACCCGTAGATGAGTAGATATATACCTCAGTGCAGGCGATAATGTATATATGCATGCATATATAATATATATTATATATATATTATATATATAAGCATATGTGCACTATACACCGCATGTGTATTGTATGCATACATGCATACATATATACTACATATATTACGTGCATAGATAAATGTATATATCTGCATACATGCAGCTCGATATATACATATACATATATATATATACATATATACATATAATATATATGTATATTATATATATTATATATATATATATTATATAATCTGCTGCTGTCTACTGCATGCACGGGGACAATGCGGTGAGGCAGTGAACGAGTGTACAATGTATAATATTAAAATATCTCTTTTATATTTATCCTTTTACTTCTTTATTATTAATTATTATATTTATTATTATACAGACAAACGCATGCAGCCAGAGGTATACGTACACCCCAATAATAACACTGCAGCCCTCTGCCCCCGCACAATCATCACTACACACGCACATGTTTGTATATAATATATATATATATATGTATTATATATATTATATAAATATATATAATATATATATACATATACATAAATATACATATATACAAAATAAATCTGCACACATATATACAATATACATACAAACACAAAGCATATATATACATATATAATATATATATATATATATACATATATATCTATATATATATATATATACATACACATTTACATACAACTGCACGTACATAAGACTAAAAGAGTAGGAAGTATGTATGCAGCCCCATCGCCTTGCATGCGCTGAATGCAAAAGAAAGAAAAAGCAAAAAAAAAACAAAAGGTGCGCATACACCACAACAACAAACCCTATAAACCCCGGAGGCGCCACCCATCGCTCTCCTCCGTTATCTGCTGCTGACAGTCTGAAAAGCAGCATTAACATATATGCATATATGCATGCATGCATAAAGATGTATATATACAAAAATATGCTGCTCTCCTTCCCTTCAGCTCAGCTCCTTTGCTGCTAACAATCGCCGCTGCCCCGTCAACAACACGCCGCAGTGCTGCTGCTGCTGCTGCTGCTGCTGCTGCTGCAGCTGCAGCTGCTGCAGCTCGAGACACCGAGACGTAAGCCAGAGCACATGCATTTTTGCGGCCAGCTATCGTCTTTCACTATCATCAGGGGTGTTTGCTGCTCCTGCTGCTGCATCTGATGCTGCTGCTGCTGCTGCACCACCTGGTGTTGTTGCTGCTGCTGCACCACCTGGTGTTGTTGCTGCTGCAGCACCACCTGGTGTTGCTGCTGCTGCTGCATCTGCAGATGTACTGGGGCTATTAGATTTACCGCCTGCCGCTGCTGGTGCTGCTGCTGCTGGTGGTGCTGCTTGTGGGGTGCCTGCTGCTCCAGCATCTCCCTTTGCTGGCGCAGCAGCAGCAGCAGCAGCAGCAGCATCAGGGGCTTTAGCAGCAGCAGAAGCACTCTGCTGATTTCTGTTGATTGCCCTGAGTCTGCGTGAAGCCTTGGCTGTCTCTTGCTGGTGGTTGTAGTCATTGGCGCTGCTGCTGCTGCTGCTGCTGCTGCTGGTGTCTGCTGCAGCAGCATCACCTGCACCAACATGGTCGCTCTGTCCTTTGAGCAGATGAAACGCATTTGCTGGGGTCTCTCCTAACTCTACTTTGTCTTCAGCTTCAGCATAATCTTTCTGAAAAGCTAAAGAGGTTGCTGCTAAGCAGCCTTGAGCTAATGCATGCAAAGCCCCGACATGCACCTGCACTCGTGCTAATAAACGACGTCCAAAAGATCTAGCTGTTGCATGCTGAACAGAAGGAAAGGTAAGCCCTAGATTTCTTGCTAATGCTTGTAGAGCACCTCCTACCTCTCCTTCATGCATAGATAAAGAAGCAGGTATAGGAGAAGAAACCCCATATGGGTTTCTTGCTGCTGCTGCTGCTGCTCCTGCTGCTGCTCCTGTTGGTGTCATTGGTGTAGTTGATGCTGTATTTGTTGCAGCATTAGCTGCTGCATTTGCTGCTGCTGTTGCTGCTGCTGCTGCACCCCCAGGAGATAGAGGATGCTTAAAATTAAAAGGTGTTGATGCTGCTGCTGCTGCTGTTTCATAGGGTGCAACAAAAGCAAGAAAACGCCAGAGGTGCCGACAGGCATCCAGCTGCAGAGCGAATAGCTGCAGCAGCCTAGGCAGCACATGCCGCGCAAAGAAAGACAGCCCCCTCTTATTCTTTTTAAATCTATCTTTATAACTAACATACCTTGCAACTGTAGCTACATATCCGTTTGCCTTCACCGCAAGATCAGCACTTACGCTGTCTAACGTCCCCAGCATAGAGGCAGGCAGCACACCTGCAGCTACTGAAGAGCGAAAAGCTTTTAATATTTCCTTCATAAAATCATACATTCGAGCTAAGTCTGCAGGTGCAGCACGAATATTTCTATCCGGAGGCTGCTCTAAATACTCCGCAAGCATCCTGCAGCAGCAGCAGCAGCAGCAGCAGCAGCAGCAGCAGCAGCAGCAGCAGCAGCAGCAGCAGCAGCAGTTGTAGTAGTTGTTGTTGTAGTTGTATGGCTGTTGTAGGAGGAAGAGGAGGAGAAGTTGAAGCAGAAGCAGCAGCAGAAACAGCAGCAGCAGTAACAGCACCGCAGCAACACCAACAGTAGTAGCTACACCAGCAGCAGTACAGAAACAGCAGCAGCAGCAGCAGCAGCAGCAAGATAAATATATATTTCTTACGGTTTTGTAGTAGGGTATTCATTAACGATTTTAAGAGCTCTCATATCTTCTTCTTCATCTGTGCATGCTTCTCTTTCAGCAGCAAAACGAGCAATAGGTAGCTGTGCTGCTAGCAGCAATCGTGCTGCGCTGCGTACACCCTGAGCATCATCGCCAGGCAGGCCCAGCATATCTCTTGCAGAGCCTAATTTTGCATGAAGAGGCACCCATATACCTTCTCTCGTATCGTTTGATACAGGTGAAGTTGTTAAGGCTGATGCTGCTTTCTTTCCGAGGTCGATAAGAGCCCCCAAAGGACCTGCTGCTGCTGCTGCTGCTGCTGCTGCTGCATCTCCACCACCACCTTCACCATCTTCAGATGAGCTTGAAAGAATACGAGATACAAAGGGTACTGCAGCAGATAAAAAGTTAGACAGCTGATCGCTTACACCCGACGGAGGAAAAGGGGTAGGACCCTGAGGCATACCCATATAAGGAAGGTCCATAGAGCCCTCTGTTGCTGCTGCGCAGAACAAGATGCTGCTGCTGCTGCCGCTGCTGCTGTTGCTGCTGCTAAAGAGCAGCAAAAGAGCCGCTGCTGCTGCTGCTGTTGCTGCTGCCCCTGCTGCTCCCCGCCTAGGGCGGGTTGCTGCGTCTCCCCCCATCACCTGGGCCCTCTGCTGCTACCGTCTAAGCAATGTAAAGAAAGAAGAAAGGATATCGTACGATAGAAAGGCTCCGCGTCCTCCTTTGCTGCTGCAGCAGAGCTCAGCAGCAAAAACAGCAACTCAGATCCTAAGAAGGCAAGGAAGATACGGGGCTGCAGTGGGGCTTGGGGGCAGCAAAGAGAAGAAAATAATATATATTCATTTAAACGCATGCAATCAATAAAGGAAAAAAAGCAAATAAAACAAAACCCTAAGAAAGAAGTTGTTGAGAACCCCCGTCGTCCACTCGAAGACGCCCGGAGTGCTGCTGCTGCTGCTGCAGCAGCAGAAGACGAGAAGCAGCAGAAAAAACGAGTAAATATAAAAAGAATATGAAGATAGAGACTAAATAAACAAAAAGAACACAAGGACATACACACAAATACAACAGAGCAGAGAAAGGCTTGGCGGCCGCCCCAACGCCTTAGCAGCAGCAGCAGCAGCAGCAGCAGCAACAGCAGCAGCAGAAAGAACTCCTTCTCTGCCCCTCACTTTCTATCTTCTGCTACCGCATGCATTTAAATTATCCACTACAAAACAAATTAACTCAAAATGCAGCAAAAGACTTATAAACTATACGATAATATAAGTAAAATAACAACAGCAGCACTGCTCAGCCCCAGCACTTCGTTATAAAGAAATGCTTCTCTCTTAGCTGTACATACACCGGAAGAACAGCTAAAACCCATTCTTATAAACTCCTTTAACTTACACTCTCATGCATCCCTCCTAGCATCTAACCGGGGGTAGCAGCCGCACCGAGATGTACGCACATAGATATACTCTATTCGAGTATTTGTTTATACAAACAAATAACGATAGCTAATGAAGACAAAGGACCTTATAAGCACTAGCCCTGTTGTGCTAGTGCATGCATCGATAGGGGCTGCCTAGCAGCAAGAACTGCAGCAAAGTGCGCAGCAAGTCACGGTGAAGCAGCCCCATTCTGCACCCGAAGCAGCAGCAGCAGCAGCAGCAGCAGCAGCAGGCATTTATCCCGCTAGACGCAGGACGGGGGGCTGTGAAGCGCAGGCTAGCTGCTCTCTTGGAAGCCCCTACGAAGAAAACCCTTCAGCTGATTGCAGCTCCAGGATCTCCTCTGGTAGAGAAGATAGATTAAGCACTCTTCGTCAATTGAAGCAGTGCATGCGTCTTCTAGTAAGGGAAGAACAGCAAATTTAATGCATGCAGGTGGTCTCCCCGGTGTATTGCATATAGGAGCTCTGAGGGTACTTCTCGAGAACAAGAAGGAAAAGAAAAGCTGCCTGGTCTTTTGTCTAATATTATACTTAAAGATTCAATCACTGTCTCCTCTTGTATAATGGAGACATATCGAAAGATATATCAAAAGAGATGTATTATGGGCGGGTCTCCTTGCTGTTTAAGAACAAAAGTAGTCTCTGCAGCCCTTCCCATTGGCTCTTAGCCCCCAGCCTATTCACAAAAGAACTGCTCCGGCTTCGCCTACCATCTGCATATAGCGAGCGCAGTGATGTTTGGGCAGTAGAGGCATTTGTTGCTTCTCTTACTATCTAATTTCTTCTTTAAAAAGATCATGCAGTGCTCTCCCGATCTTTTTGTCTTCTCTTCTACTGGAGAGAAGCAAGTGCAGTGAATTCACGCATTAATAGATAAGGAGATTACACTCTTAGACCCTCATCATAGCTTAAGGCACTAGATATATTTAGGAGAATCCTGTCTCAGGTTCAGCTACCAACTCTATACGAATTAAATATAAATACTCTATACAATGCATGCGGAGGTAAATGAGCACAAGAGTTGAATTGAGGCGTATTTGCAAGTGCTGCTCTCACCACTGTGCTGCACGGAATGTACAGCCCAGGTAGTTTAACTGTTGTCTATGTTCTGTTGCTTCCCTTGATGGTGCTCCTCAAAGGGCTGCTTCTCCAGCTCCTACTTTACTGCATGCGCCCTCATAGCTAAAAGAAGAGAATGAGCCGCTCGGTGCTTCTCCTCAATCTTCAGAGTGCAGAGTTTGCTGCGTGTCTTCTGTTAAGACTTCGTCTCTTTTGCAGAGCGGGGCTGGCGTTCACCCCCTCCCCTATTCTTATTTACTCTTTTAGTTGGTTACTTCTATCACTGTTCTCGTTCGCTCCAGCTAGCACGAAAGAAGGGCCTCCCCAGCGAAGAGAGGTGAAGAGAAGCTCTCTCTCTCTTTAATGCCTAAGTATTTCATCACCTCCGCTAATTCCTCTCCTCTTCCTTTCTTTACCTTTTCGCGGTCTCATCGCGGAACAGCCCGTTATGGACTGACTGTACAAGGGATGATCCTGTCATGAGCCACCTATATACATATATATATATATATATATGTATATATATTAATATGTATATATATATATATGTATGTGTTTGTAGATATATACATATATATATGTATATGTTTATATATATATGTTTATATATATACATATATATACATATATATTGATATATATATAATACAATAGCTCAGAGTCCACCGTTGGGCTTCGATTGCATGCGCGCTCTCTCTCTTTACTCTCGGAACCACTCAGCGCCACCACTTGTGATAAGAGCCCTTTGTTTGTCTGTGGAGACTGCCGTTAGCATTATAAGGCAAAGTGTGTGATGAATAAGCTGCCACATACACCCGCCCTCCCCTTTAATCTTCAGCACTTTTGAGCATAGCTGCGCAAGTGCTGGTGAAGAAGGAAGAGGCAGCCTCTCAAGAGATGCAGAGTATCTTGATGCAGTTACTGCTGCAAGGCAGCCAGCATGCAAGCACCATCAGGGCCTCTGTATTGCATGTAGGAACGCTGTAGGCCATTGTTGAATATCTTCTTGACCCTTATTAGGCAGCCTACATGCAAGTAGAACTGCATACAATAATTTCGAACAGACTATGCTACATCTGCAGCCCCGTCTCCCCCAAGGAGCACACGTCTTCATATGCCTGGCCGCCAAACAAAAGGTGGGGGAGAGGAGACGAGGGCTCATTCTTCAGCCGCTGCTGCTGGAGCAGGTGCTGTTTCTGCTGCCCCATCGATTCCTCCTCCTACATTGCTCATTGCTGTTTATCGAATTGCTGCGTCTCTTCCTGTTGCGTCTCTCGCTTCAGCATCTCTTGCTGCTGTCGCTGGTTTGTAGATTTTATCTGCTGCTGCTTGCCTTTTTCTTGTTCTCTCTCTTGCATGCGCAGCTGCACTTGTCTCCTGCTGCTGTGGGGTGTTGAGCTGAGTTGAGGTCCCCTTCTTAGGAGGCCGGCGATCTTACCTTTGGGCTTCTGTTCACTAAGGAGACATTTCTCGCTCTCGTATAAAGTAAAGAGTCTCCCTTATTAATTTCGTTTTTCTTAATTAAGTCATAGTCTGCTATCTTGGTGAACTGACGATAAAACTGCTGTGCAAAGATAGTTGGCTTTGTTAGATAGTCTACGTGGGCCCCAAAAAAGGGGCTGCTTTGTTTAGATAAAACTTATTCTCGTAACTTCTCTTGTAATAAAAAGATATGGCATTAACAACTGTAGCTCTTCGGGAGTAGTTTGAAGACGCAAGCAAAACAGAAGGGGGGTCAGAGACAACCCTCCCCTCCCTCTTGCGTATCTTAGCGCTCTTCTTTACTAGAGAGACAGCAAAAGCAGAGACACCCTTCAAGATATATTTCTGGTGTATAGACATCTTATGCTGGTTTTGATGCAGACACTGCAGATATACAACACATCCATTAAGCAACTCGAAACATAAAAAACAAACAAACGCCAGTAGACAAGTGAATATACAGCGTTAGTAAAAAGCAATAGACGAAAAAGTATAAACAATTACCAATAAAGTATTAACTACAAATTAAAAAGGAGATTCAATACACCATAAGCAGCTAACAATAATATTATATATAATAAACTGTAAACTATAAGCCCTTAACAAAGCGATTAGGCCCCCACATACATCGTTAGCCTCCCTCTCACCGGAGGGTAGACCGAGAGAAGTCTGCAAAATAAAGTTTTCTTTCATATCAGAAGGAATGTTAAATTAAGTGTGAGTTTGTTTGTCTTTCAAATATAAAGACTAGTAGCGTCTTTGCTATTAATAATGCAGGCACAATAGATACATACACCAGATCACCAAGGTGTGGGGTTGGGGATCGATTTTTGCATCGTCTCCAGTACACCATATGGCGCTATCAACTGTAGCAACGACAGTCAGTCTTAGATGAGGACAGGCGTAAGCTGCAATAGAAACAATATACTTTAACGGTTTCCTACGGAGGCTGCTAGCCTCCCCTTAGGGCCCCTATACATGCTGGGCAGAGCCCCCTAATAAGAGTCTGGTGCTGGTGTGAGAGGAGACAAGCTTCTATGAATTGCAGCGAATATTGCTGCAGCTAGCGCTGCAAGAAAGCCCCACATGCAGGCAGAACTAAGCCCCCTTCTTTGCATGCATTAACGCTTTAGACAGTTGAGCCTCATTATACACAACCTGCATGCATGTAGAAGTATAAGCACCCATTGAGGACAGGATATACTACTGACCTTTGCTGCTGCAGAGAGGGGGCCACTGTGGCAGCAGCAGCTGCTGCGTCACGCCCTTCTGCTGCTGTTGCTGCTGCTGCTGCTGCGGCAGCCATCCCTGCCAGCTAGCGCTCCTAAGCCCTCTCCTTATGCATGCACTGATACCGTAATAATTGCTAAGCCTCCTCTTTGCCCTCAGCCGTTACTTTACATGTAAGAGGGACCACCAAGCACCAACTTCAAACAGAGCAGCCTAGCAGCAGCAGTAGCAGCAGCAGCAGTAGCAGCAGCAGTAGTAGCAGCAGCAAAGACAACGACAGCGGCAGCAACAATCATAGCAGCAGCAACAACAACAACAAATGAACGAATACATGCTGCTGCACTCGCTGCTACTTCTGCTGCTGCAAGGCTGCTGCTGCCTTACCTACACCACCACGCAGCAGTTTGCTGCCGCACGCCCACAGGCCTTGCTGGCTGCTGTTCCCCTGAATAATATGTATAAATAATAAACCTTTTATTAATTAACAAATAGCTGCCTTCCTGCTACAAATTCGTTAGACGCAGCATCTGCTGCTGCTGCAGCATCTGCTGCTGCTGCTGCTGCTGCTGCTGCTGCTGCGGCTGCGGCTGCTGGCGGCGCAGGAAACGCATGCAGCGGTAGGTCTTGTAAGAGGCAGCAGCAGGAGCTGCTGGAATAAATTCGCTGTTTTCTCCTTTCTTTGTCTTTTGAGGGAGGCAGCAGCGAGCTGCACTCTCCCCCTTCTGCAACAGCAGCAGCAGCAGCAGCAGCAGCAGCAAGTCGACCCTCCTTAGGTGCTGCCTGCTGCAGCACAGCGACTTCTAAAGAGTTTTGCTTCCTCTTGAGCTCTACAGAGGCATCATACTCTGTGCAGCAGCACGGGCGGAGCCCCTCTGGCGCCCGCCAGCTGCTGCTGTTGCCACTGACAGCGCAGCAGCAGCAGCAGCAGCATCAATTATTGAGAAGCAGCTAGGCGGAGAGTCTCTCGACCTTCTCGCTGCTGCAGCAGCTGCAGCAGACTCCGCAGCAGCAGATGGGCAGCCACGCCCGCAGCGCTGCGGCTTGATATGCTTCAGGCGCAACACAATAGGCGGCGGCGGCAGCAGCAGCAGCAGCAGCAGCAGCAGCAGCCTTCAGCAGCAAGCAGCAGCTTTGCAGCTGCTGCTTCATATATATCGGGAGCAGCAGCACCTGCAGCGCATAGCAGCAGAGCTGCTGCAACGAATGGGATGCGACACTCCTTGCGCAGCCTCGCTGCTGCTGCCGATTCTAGCAGCAGCAGCAGCAGTAGCAGCAGCAGCAAACCCTCCCCAGTAGCATCTGGAGGGAAGGATTCAGTTGCAAATCAACAAGTTAGCGGCAGTCCTGTAGCTGCATCAGCAGCAGCAGCAGCAACAGCAACAGCAACAGCAGCAGCAGCAGCAACCGGCGGCTCCTCGCAGCAGCAGGGCCATGTGGGGCTGCCGCGTCGCAGCAGCTCCTCAGCTGTCTCCTCTCCTGCAGCGGTTGCTTCTAGCTCCGCTGTAGCAGCAGCAGCACCAGTTGCTGCATCTACACCGGCCGCATCCGCAGCAGCAGCCCCAGGCGGAACAGCAGCAGGCGCCGCACCAGCAGCAGCAGCAGCAGCAGCAGCAACAGCAGCAGCAGCAGGGGAAGATGTGGAGTGCAGCGTCTGCCTCGTTAAGGGCTCCGAGCCCCACAACAGCATTGTCGTGTGCAGCGGCTGCGGTGCTGCTGTTCATCAGTACTGCTACTCCTTATATACTTTACCCCAAGGCCCCTGGTTTTGCTGCTTGTGCAGCTGGCAGCAGAAGCAGCAGCAGCTGCAGCAGCAGCAGCAGCAGCAGCAGCTTCTGCAGCCCCAGGGGCCCCTTGCTCTAGCGGCATCTGCTGCTTCATCAGGCGAAGGCAGCAGCGCAGGTACGGCCCCTGGGCAGCAGCAGCCTCCCCAGCCCCCCGCAGCAGCCAGCAGCAGCAGCAGCAGCAGCAGCAGCAGCAGCAGCAGCAGCAGCAGCAGGGAAGAAGTATGCAGGCTTTGCCTGAGGGGTGGAGGAGCAATGCGTGTAGGGGAAGAGAGGATGTGGGTGCACAGCTGCTGCGTCTTGTTTGCTGCTGGGGGCCCCTACTTTCAGCAGCAGCTGCAGCTCGATAGTCCTGCTGCAGTTGGTGCTTCTATATCGCTTGCTGCTGCAATGGGGTGGCGCTGCTGCTTGTGTGGTTCTGGAGGCTTCCCTGTTGCTTGCTGCTACCCAGGCTGCAGCAAACGCATGCACATTACCTGCGCTAAAGCAGCAGGTTGCTGCTGCTGCTGCTGCTCTGTCTGGGCCTCTAATACAGAGGGAATAGGAAGAGATAAGACGTGGAGAGCTGTCTTCTGCATGCAGCACAGCAATCCTGATGCAGTTGAGAAGGCGAGGCTTTCTTTAAAGAGACAAACTGCTGCTGCAGCTCCTGCTGCTGCAGCTCCTGCTCCTGCTGTTGCTGCTGCGTCTCCGGCTGCTGCTGCTGCTCTTGTTCCTGCTGGTACGGGGGGGGGCCCTGCTGCGGCTCCTCTCACCGCCTCTCCTACTCCAGAAGCAGGAACCAATGCAGCAGCAGCAGCAGCTGCTGCTGCTGCTGCTGCAACAAACGCAGCAGCAGCACCTGCTGCGGGAGACGATGCAGCACTCAGATTCCATCAACTCCAGCAGCAGCAGCAGCAGCAGCAGGAGGCGGCGGCTGAGCTGCACCGGCAGCAGCAGCTGCAGCAAGCCATGCCAAACACCCCACCGCAGATGCTTGCTGCTGCACGAGATGCAGCAGGGCAGCAGCAGCAGCAGCAGCAGAAGCTGGCCCTAACCCCGCAGCAGCAGCTATTCGTTCAGCAGCAGTACCTGCAGCAGCAGTTCTTGCAGAAGCAGTACTTACAGCAGCACTTGCTGCAGCAACATTTGCTGCAGCAGCAGCTGCTGCAGCAACAGCAGCAGCAGTTGCTCCAGCAACACTACTTGCAACAAAAGCAGCAGCATCAGGACCCCTCGACAGCAGCAGCGGATGCAGCAGCATCAGCAGACGCAACGGATTCCTCTAGCCTTGCTGGCGGGAGTGCTACTGCTGCTGCTGAGACAGCAGCAGCAGCAGCAGCTGCTGCTGCTGCTGCTGCGACGGCTCCAGGAGGGGGTTCGCCCAGCACATGCCTTGCAGCTCAGTCTGTCTCTAGCCTCGGAGCATCTGAAGCAGCAGCAGCAGCAGCAGGCGATGCGCAGCAGCGGGCATTCACCCAGACGCAGCAGCAGCAGCTGCAGCAGCTGCAGCAGCAGCACAAACAGCAAGCCATGCGACTCGGGGCTACCACAGGCCCCACACCCTACCCTGCTGCTGCTGCTGCTGCCGCTCGCCCC